AAAAAAAAAAATAAAAATAAAAAAAATAAAAAAAATAAAAATAAAAATAAAAAAAATAATAATAATAATAATAGGAACAACAACAACAACAATAATATTAATAGCCCGACTACTCCAACAACACCATTTACACCTATTACTATACAATACCCATCTGGATTCACCTCAATTCGCGACTCAAATACAACTGGCTACATTTCCGAATACTCATCATCATCACCACAAGAATGCTCATTCCCATACGACGAAACACCAAGGGATTCCAATCTAATTTATAATGCAATTAATATTGGTAATATAGTTAAAAGTATGAATAATATGAAAAATGGCGATGGGCATTCTTATGAAAATTATGATAATAGTGGTGTTAATGGCGATGGAGATGATAAAAATGATGACGATGGATCAAAATATTGGTTGGAATTTGTGTTAGCTTCAACTGTTACTATACAAGACGAAGTTAATTCTAACAAAAAGAAATTGTGGATGAATACTAAATAATTATTTAAATTTAAAATTAAATTTAAATAATGTTATTTATTTTATTTTTTTTTTTTATATAAACATTTATAAATAAATTTTTTTTGATATTTTAATGAACGTTTATATAGGTGGCTAAAGAAAAAAAAAGTAATTATTATTTTTTTGTCATCCAATAATAAATTGCATACCTACCACCTCTTACCTGTCAATTTAAAACTTTGACATATTTAAAAATATTTGAACCTAAAATAATAATAACACAGTATATTTTTTGATTTGTCATATAACATTTTTGTCCATAAATTTGCTGATATAATGGTATAATACATGCGACCGAGAGCTGATGTAATAATGATTTACAAAAACCAATAGCAAACAATTAATATATATATATTCATTGAGATTTGATCATTGTTGTATTCCAAAAAATTAATATTAACGGAACCAAATCAAATCATATCTCTCACATCATATCACATCTTTACATTTACATTCATAAATCCACTTATTTATTCATCCATTGAGAATTTTCCTATTGTTTTTCATTACATTGTTGTTATTTTTTCAAATGTTAATTAAATTTAAATAATGATAAATTTGTCTATCTTATTATTACAATTCCATCCAATCCCATCTTCGAATAATAAGCGGTAATAACAATAAAGATATAACAATACAACAAGAACAGTTTGCATACATTACATGGAGTATTAGTATGCTGTAATGATGGAGACACAGGAAAATGCAGGGCTCAAAATTTTGGTGACCAATTTACCATTGGCCAAAGTTACAATTGTTCTATGACAATTGTAAATTTCCAAAAGGGTTAAAGATAATCTTTTTTACCATTTTCATATGTTTGTCTGGATCCATTGGGTTCATTCTTTTTTTTTTGGATCTTAGAAATGTTGACTACACAGTGAATCTCGGTTTAGTAGACCTCGATTTAATATTAACGGATAATAAAAACCTTCCGATATAACGGTTTTTGGGAAATTGTCCGTTAAACCGAGATTCACTGGTATTGTGCCTGCTCTGCAATTATATTGAAAGTGGTTTTTCTGACACAAAAAAAACATTTTTCTTCATATATATATATATATATATATATATTATTTGGAGAAAGTACACAAGGCAACAGTGTATGAAAAATGAATTGATGAAGGGAAAGTGGTTCAATAATTCGAGTAGTTCTGTCATATTCAAAGTATTTGGGCATATTTTACATTGATTGTATTACGCCCTAGTGATCGGTCCCCTTTATTCTAATCTTGATGGAAAATATTATCACTGCATAATAATGTTTGAAACGCATCAATGATATTTTTTTTTGGAGAACATGAAAAGAACTGTTATCTATGTAAAAATGAATCCAGAAATCAAGT